TTTCCTAACTGTAGTTGTGTGTTTAAAGAATTGTTAAAAACACAGTTAATTGGAAGAACTGTAGATTTTAACCAATTTATAGAGTATTCAGAAACTTTTGAAAAAGAATTTATTAATTCAAAAACTTTAGATATTGAATTTTCCGAGTGTTTAAGGAAAAGCAAAACAACATCTACATACAGACTAATTTTGTGTTCTATGTTCTTACATTGTATGCCTTTAATATCTGCAGTTTGCCTGATCGCAGCTGCTAGAGGTTCAATAAAAATAGCAAACATATAGTATAAACATTTTGTACAAATATTTTGTACTATATTGTTTAAGGACAAAAACAAGCACTTGTTGTGAAAAGCGTGACTTCCTGCACGTTGGTCTTATGTTTGAAGCTGTGGCTGGTAGGTGAATCAGGGACAGACCCAGGAGAATAGGGCAGATTGTGGGAGTACATGAAAAAAATAGAAAAAAAAATCAACATTTAACAATAATTTCCAATTTATTTATCGATTTGCTTGTTCCTATAGTACATATGCAGTCCTCATCCATTGTAAAGGTGCATTAAATGTTTATTTATGTTTTTATTCCTTCTATAAAACCAAGGCCTGAATAAAAATAAAGTTAGAAAACAGTTCAGGGTTTGGTACTAGTCTTCTTAAAGCATATCACAAACTTTTTAATGAGCTTAAAAAGTTGCATTTATCTCTCATTAATTTTGTATTTTAGTTTTTTAATGCTTCTAGTTTGTCTTTAATATTTAATTTCTACTTATTTTATTGTTACTATTGCTATTGTTAATTCTTATTTCCTATATATTGCACTTTTAACAATTTAGAATATTATCTGCTGCTGCTACACCTGAATGTCCCCTCTGTGGGACAATAAAGGATGTTTCTATTCTGTTCTATTCTATTCTATTCGAAAGAACAGCAACTTTTCATTTTAATCTACATTTGTTTATTATTATCCTTCTCAGTCATCTATTTTAACATCTTTATTTCATTAAATTTTACATTTTTGATTTTTAAGGCCTAACTTGAAGTTGGCACTTTGCTTAGGAAAGGTGTTTTGTTAATAAAGTTTGATTATTGAATTGTAACAGTCTGAAATATGAACTTTTATCTGGGTCATGTTTTAAAAGTTCCCATGTCAAACCAACACAGTTGGCAGGGGACTCTAATGGGCAGCAATAAAAAGAAAACTTTCCAAATGTTCACCATGACTCTGTATCTTCAGGGTTTGATTTGGGGTTTTTTAGAGAGCCATATCCCTCCGAAGCTTTACCTTAAAGTCCCTGCTGTGCTGAGGGGTGTACTCAAAGGTCCACAGAGCCCGGACCAGGCCGGACAGCTGCTCGGTCACCTCTCCCGCCTCCTGCTGCTGGCTGCCCGCCTTCTTCTGCACCAGGACCCCGTTGGACTTCGCCTTGTCGTTGCTGCCGCTCGTCTCCCCTCCTTTGAACTGCTCCAGGGCCAGGTACTCGGCGAACAGCTCGGTGTTGCTCAGGCACTGTAAGATGGCGTTCATGAAGCAGGTGTTGCCGTGGTTCTTCAGCCCGGCGACCCCCGGCACCTTGTCCCCGAACGGGAACCCCCCGCAGTCGCTGTCGTCGGACTGGACCGAGCCTCCGGCGGTGTTCGTCGCTGGCGTCGCCTCGTCCGCGTCGTCGTCGGCGGCCTGCTCGTCGGTGCCGAAGTGAGACAGGGTGGACAGGGTCCGGAGGACTCGGTTCATGAAGCTGCCCACGGAGCGGACCGAGCTCCGGCGGAACAGCTTCTTGCTGAAGGATTTCTTCTCCTTGCTGCTGACAACTTTCGACATGATGAAGATGGGTGGTCTGTCCTCTTGTGACACTTGAACACGAAGGCGCGGAGAGGGTCCCAATCAGCCCACTTTGGACAGCACTGCGCTGAGTTGCATAAACAGCCTCCGTGGAAAGCAACAATCAGGGCGCTCCGGATGAATCCCTGGGCTCGTCCCGCTCCAGCCAGCAGCCATCACGGTCCTCCTCATCACCTCCTCAGGTTGTGTCGGCTACAAAAACAGGGCGCTCGGGTTCAGTGTTTTTGTCGGACATAATAAGCATTAAATCTTAGTGGGAGCAGGATTCCTCCTCATAATTTATTAACCCGCAGCTCCACCCCGTTTAAAGGCAAGTGCATTCAGACCCCACCATTGTTGTTGTTGTTCATGAAAGGTGACGGTATGGAGACATTTACCCGGCTGCCTAAAGCTCCTCCACAGCGGCGGCGGGGTTCGCAGGAGGTGCTCTGCCGAACTGAGGAAGCCCCCGACCGGAGCGACAGTGCCCGCCGCTGCCCCGCGGAGAGGCATCACTTCTCCGGTTGGACGCGAAGGTTGGTATCGCCATCCGGAAGTTTTCTCTTTTTTCCCCCCTTCTTCTTCTTCTTCTTCTTCTGCTTCTTTCACCCCAGACAGGATTTGTTTGAGTGTCCGCGCGCGCCTTTATTTCCGCCTCCGGATCCGCTTCATTGCGAGGCCGCTGCTCCCGGTCTCCATCACCGACACTGCGGGCARGGCGGTGACGGCTGACGTCAGGCCCGAACGCTGGTCCATGTTGGAGGAGAGGAGAGCAGGTACGGAGGAGGCAGAGGGGGCGGAGCCTCCATCTGTGTGGAGTCCTGACAACAACCAATCAGCTTCCAGATGCTCCTCTCATCTCTCACGCTGAAGGAAAAAAAACTGGAATTTTCAGACAAATAGAAGCAGTTTTAAACCTAACCTCTTCAATCAGGTCCTGATCATCACCTCAAGCACTTTGAAGTTTTACTGATTTTAGCTTAATTAGTGCCAGTAAATTTATGCAAAAAATGTGCACACTAGACCAGTGTTTCCCAAAGTTGGGGTCAACATCAAGGTGGGGTCCTGAAAAGGTTTTCGGAATTAGTTACATTTTTGTCTTAGTTGGTTAGTGTATTTAAAATGGATAAATGCAGTATAAAAATATTGTTATGCCCATGTTTTGTTGACCTGATATAAATGTTTATCCAAAAATAGTTGGGGGCACAGGTCTCTGTTATTG